TCAGCATTTGAACTGCTATGTGTGTGTATTTTGTAGTTTTTCATATGTATCATTACATTATTCAAGTAAGCTCCAAGCCTATTCCAAAGCCAATTCCTGCATTTAAAGTTGTAATTCGACAAAGGACGCAGCAACCCAGTGTAACTTACCTGGCCTCAGTCTTAGCTAAGCCTGAGGTACATCACTGTCAAGTCAAGTCAAGTCACCTTTATTTATATAGCGCTTTTAACAATACAGATTGTGACAAAGCAACTGAACAGCATTAATTAGGAAAATAGTGTCAATAATGCAAAATGACAATAGTAAACACAAATTTTTCAGTTAAAGACAGTTCATCATTGAATTCAGTGATGTCAACATCCAGCTCAGTTTAAATAATATCTTTGCAATCATGTCAACGATAACGCTGGAAATGAAGTGTCCCCAACTAAGCAAGCCAGAGGCCATAATGGAGGACTGTCTCCTCCATTATGACGTAAAACATAAAAAACTAAAATGAGCAATTATGGCTCCACCTGTCCTGGCAGGATTGTCTCTCGTCAGCTCCGTGGCCTTCGAAGTGTGCACACACAACTTTGGGACACAGCTTTGGAAACAAGCGAAATATTGACAAGCCTACAACTTCGATAAGATTCCTAAAAGTTTCGCACCTACAGCACACATTACAGACATTGATGCACAAACGCGGATATGTTCTACATGTCTACAGTATAAAGAATGAATAAACCTGTCTTATAAACTCCTTGATTTCGCTTAAGCAACGTTAAATATAATATGCATGCACAATAAACTATTATAAAATTTATTTACATCACTCGACCATTAGGTTTTTGCAGGTTTTAATAAAATGTAAATTAATAATCATATAGTCATAATAAACAAGCATATTTCCAGTACGCGCCTCAGGCTTGCACAGTATCGTCAACTCACTCATCAGAATCTTCGGTAATCCTCGGCAAACTTCGCCACGGCTCATTCGGTTCTTGTTGAGTCCTCGGTAATCCTCGGCAAACTTCGACATTTGGTTGAACCGGCTCATTCGGTTCTTTTTGAGTTGGACGTGCTGCTTCGGCTGTGCGTCCTGCGTCATCAACCCGGAACTAAAGTTCGATTCAGTTTGATTTGTGAACCGGCTCAGAAGAACGATTCGTTCAAGAACCTAACGTCACTACTACATATGCCTACTGAAAAATGTTTTGTTAAAATGGTACAAATCAAATGTTTTGTTCATCTAACATAAAACGAAGATAGCATGAACTACTTTTAAACACAGCAACACTGCCAGTAGCAATTACAGCTGTGAGGATTTTTTATTTGTATTTTTGGGTTGTTTATGTCTCTCCACATTTAGACCAGCTTTTTGTCTGGTTTTCTATGCAAATTTTGTGCCAGCTCTGCCAAATGTGATGGAGAGTGTGGTGGACAGCAGTCTGTATGCAGGTCATACATATTTTCAGTTGCAGTAAAATCTGAGTTATTCCAGATTTCAAAACCTGTCAAGTCACATATATTTGCATAGCACTTTATGTACAATACAGATTGTTTCGAAGCAGCATCACAGAGGTAAATATGAAACTAAGAGTGAATATTCAAGCAAAAATCTTAAAAATATGACATGACATCAATTTAATCTTTTGAAGCAGCTCTACAGAATATAATTTTCATTATTCAGATCAGCTTAATTTAGCTGAAACATTCAGCAGATAAAGTAGATCTAGAGAGGACAATAGTATCATTATTCATCTCAAGTAAATTCAATGTTGATTCAATTTAGTTCAATGAAAGTGTTGCAAAGTTGATCAATTCCTAAATGAATTCAGTTCAGCTATAAAGCAGCTCTACAGAAGACAATAATGTAATCATTCAGCTCAATAGGTCAATGTTGATTCAGTTCAGTTCAATTTGTCCAAGTTGCAAAGATGTTCAATTATGAAAGAACCATAGGAAGCTCTACAAAGAAAATATTGTCGTTATTCAGCTCAGTTCAGTTGTTTTGTTCTATATCAGTATAATCAAAGCAATCATTTTTTTATCAATGTTTATCCTTTTAAGCCTCTAAGACATTAATTTAAAGCCTTTGCTGGTGCTTTGCGTGAATGTCCTATTGTTCTGTGCTTTTAAAGGCCAAAGATCTCAATTTTGAGATCCTCCAGAATAAGCGTTCAAGCTTTGTGTCTTGGTTATGGTAATGACATAATGTTGGTCTTTAGTAGTTCTCCCCATATGACAAAACTAAATAAAAAGGATTTATTTTTTTTTTAGCTAAAGTTTTTAAAGCATCATACTGGTCTTCATGTTGGTCAGAAATACACTGATTTTAGTTGGGAGACCTGAGTTACCTTTATTAAGTTATTGTGTATTTAAGTGATTGACCAGAGGTGCATTTAAATGAACACATTCGGTACCTTGCTAATGAATTACATTTAATAATTGCCATTTCAGTTATTTATTTCACTTTCCACTTATTTTAACATTGTAGAGAGGACTGGGAAGAAAAGTCATAATGCACTCTGCCTTATGATTAGATGATAAGCTTTTATTAAAATTATGAGTTCATTATGACAATTATTACAAATACATTAAACAAAGCTATAAATTATACAAGAAATATCCACAAGCTTTTTGGACTCTGAAATGCTCTGAAAGAACCTTTTACATGACCTCTCAGCTTTCAATGTCATGTTAATTCACTTTTTGGAGACACACTGTTTATTCGAACAATGGAAGCAGGTGCATCAGCACAGTGATTGTCTGTGGCCTTTATCCTATAAGCACTGTTGGTGGCTTTTTATATTTTCCAGAAGTTCAGTTCACTCATACCTGTGCAATATTGCAAATGCAACAAGTCACGCTATTACTGTAATAGGCTATTCTAAAATATTACCAATAAATCTTTGATCCAAAAGATTAGAAGAGTCATGGAAAAAAAAAGTTATGCAAACTGAACTTTGATTTAATATTCAACATTTTATGGGACTAAATCAGATGCCAGGGTGAAAACGAACCCCTGCCGTTTGGAGCAGTTTAGTATGATTGATTCTTTAGCAGGGTTTGATATGTGCTGAGAATCACTCATATATGTTTTATTTGGACCAACAACAGTAATAGTGTAAAAAAATAGCTGAAAATGTACTCGCCCGCAGACCATCCAAGATGTAGATAAGTTAGTTTCTTTATCAGAACAGATTTTGAGAAATTTAGCATTACATCACTTCAGATACACTGCAGTGAATGGGTGCCATCAGAATGAGAGTTCAAAGTCAAACAGCTGATAAAAGCATCATAATAATCCACAAGTAATCCATCTGACTCCAGTCCATCAATTAATGTCTTGTGAAGTGAAAAGCTGCATGTTTGTAAGAAACAAATCCATCACTAAAGTTTTATCTTTAAACCATCGCTTCTGTTTGAAATACAAGCTTATAATAATAAAATATAATAATAATAAAAGAACATAATAATATCCCCTGTTGTCCTCTCACATTAAAATCCTCTGACATATTTGTTTAGAAATGTCTTGGACTGTTTTTGCTTGTAAATGGTGCTTGATCTGTGCATAGTTCTCTCCTCATTCAGATGAGGCTTTTATTCACCAAAGAAAGCAATGAATATAGGACACAAATTGTAGCCGGAAGAAACAGTCGGAAGTAAAAAAAAAAAAGAAAGTATTTTCACTTCACAAGACATTGATGGACTGGAGTCGTGTGGATTACTATGATGCTTTTATCAGCTGTTTAGACTCTCAATCTGATGGCACCCATTTCATTGCAGTGGATCCATTGGTGAACAAGTAATGCAATTCTGAATTTCACAAAAGCTCCTTTGATGAAGAAACAAACTCATTTACATCTTGGATGGCCTAAAGGTTGCACAAATGTTTTTTTTCATGTTTTCATTTTTGTTTTACACTAATACTTTTGTTGGTTCAAATCATCAATCATGCTAAACTGCACTGTATACCTGTATAAGCACTGTAAGCCTTAATTTGATTCTTGTGCTTAGGTAACCAAGGCCAGTGGTTATTGGCTTTGTAAATTGCAAGCGGATGTGCTGTTATTATTATTTAATTTGATTTCAATAGAATTTCATGGTTGAACCTAAATTATATTATGAATTACAAGTAGAAATGACCACTCACCAAACTTTACTTAAAAAAAAAAAACTATATATATATATATATGGTTTAGTTCTTAGTGCAATTGCCTTCAATCTCGTTTATCGACCATGAGGGGGTGCTGTAGTAGTAATAGTTCTTAATGTAATGGTGTTGCGTTGTTTTCTAATTACTCAAGTGTTAAATCGACATTGTATATTATTTATGTTTGAGAGTTGGGCCCTGCACGCATGTCAGAATGAAGAGCAGATCAGGCTCTCTGCCTTTTTTCAAGTAGCAAACAATTGCTTCTTTCTTTCTTTCTTTCTTTCTTTCTTAAACTTACCACTGCCTATAAAATGTCTATAGTTCTTTGTTCTGAACAGATCAACTGAACATTTTTCATTTTGTTGTGTAGAGACTGAACCTTAGTTGCAGCCGTGAGGCATTGTCTAATTCAAACCTGTCAAACCAGTCTGCCATATACATTTTCTCACTGAAGAAAACCACTGAGTGAGACAACAAGGACTAGCGTGTCGAGACGGATCAAATCAAGTTACTAGAGATACATAGGCAAGATATTTAAATAGAAAAAACCTGGCGGTCATGTGCTTCTAGAACAGGAAAGACAGGTGTTCAGTCGTCTGAACTCTAGAGAGGAACGATTCATTCCTTCCTGGAAACTTTACCCCTTAGAAAAGAACATTTTATTCACAAATGAAAAATGTCATTATGATTTATTTACGTATGCACAGTCTCCCGGTAGACCTCTTATAATAAAGCGTAATTTCGTAGAATAAGGGCAGGTGTGGCATATGATTGATTATGTAACCGCCAATGGTATTTAAGGATTACACTTTGAGCCCGCCCTACTTTAGTTATCTGTCCAATCAAGTAAAAGATTACTTCCGCCCGCCTGCCGCGTTGAACGCAGATTGTCCGACGCGTTTTGCGTGAAAAGAAAAACAGTTTGGACGCGAAGACCTACTCCAAGCCTGGGATATTTTGCTTAAAATTATTAATTTTTGCCTTTTAAAAGCAAAGCGGAGGCAACTTTTTCTCAAGAGTGACTGCCCAAGAACCCCAAGGCGTCTTGACTGGACTTCCCAAACACAATAAACTGCCCGAGTGAGTAATAACAGCTTATTTCTCTTCTGAGACCGCAAGCAAAACATTTACCGCGTTGTTTAAACATAAACCTGACTAAAAATCTTAAATGTTTAGTCGCTGACGGCAGTGTCGAAGGAAGTTATTTTGAAAACTCGAGGACTGACTTCTTTCATTGTTGTTGTGTGTCCTGTTTTGCTCGAGCCAACTGTCGGTGCACTTGACAGCGCGAGCTCTCCGTGTCAAGTGCACCCGACCGTTGAGCTAAACTGGACAAACAAACAATGAAACGAGTTACTATCCGGAATGCAGGGAAGGGATCGGCTTTATTTCAGCAGAGTATTGACGCGGAGCTTGACACTCACATCACCGGGTGGGCTCGCCCTGAGCAACAGGGCAGACTCATCAGTCATCCTAACTGCTCGAGTGTTAGGGTTGGCTTGACATGCTCAATTAAGTATAATAAAGTGAATGTGTATTCGATTCGTTTATTTAATTTCACCTAGTACTGCTGCTTCTGGGCTGACAGCTAGTGAAGCCATGTTCTGGTCTCCGCTGTTTTTGCTACAACTACTGTACGTCCTATGACCTAGGTCTTCACAACAAAGACATATTAGGTATGTTAGATAAACTATTATGTAATTTGTGGACGATTGTGTATGTATTTATTTTATAAAGTTTGTAAATGTTTATACATTTCTCTCTCCCCCTCTAATTTATTTACATAAACACCAAAATGTTTATACAAAAACACACATGATATGTATGCGCGTGTGTGTGTGTATGTGTGTGTGTGTGTGTGTGTGTATGTATGTGTGTGTGTGTGTGTATATGTATGTGTGTGTGTATGTGTGTGTGTGTATATATATATATATATATATATATATGTGTGTGTGTGTGTGGAATGTATTCTTTGGAGGTCCTGTGGGATTAGTGAAATATGAAATACTGAACATACCCACTTGAAGTGGAGAAGAAATCACTGGTGGGTTGAACTGAGGTGATGTGAATGGATCACTTCAGGTCATCACCTGTTTATGGGTCTAAAATAAAGCTCATATGTCTTGTAAACATGTGAACTGGTCTCACTGTATAATCGTCAAACTGTGATCACATGGTTTTAAATCCAAACATACACTCAGGGAATATTTACACTTGGGCTCTTAATGCATTTTTACTGATTGGGTAGCTATCACGACCATGCTTAAATGACCACCAGAAGCCCTATTCGAACGGGATTAGTATTACCTGGTGACCTCCAGTCATTTGTAATAATTGTGGAGGTTTTCTGTGATCTTAATCCTGTGCGAATCGGCCATGTCTGTAATTTGGCCAGCATTTGGCGGGTTGTTTCATTTTTCGAGGTTTTTGTTTCCTGTGTGCCTTTTTATCCATCTTTGCGAAGAATGCAGCTGTTTTGGAGTGTTTTGATAGTATTTTGGGTGCTGTCATATCGCTATACTACACCATACAACTATATACTTTGCAGAAAGAAAGCTGAAAAGGTTTCGAGGTTAATATTACAAATAAATCAAGCATAAAGCTTGAGATATTATTTTAACCTGGTGAAATGTAAATGACACAGGGCACAAAACTATATTGGTTTCTTTTTTTTTTTTTCTTTTTTTTTAAATCCATCTAACCGGACCATAGAACGGGACTCTCAAAGCCTTGACATCCGGGAGATAAGTCAGTAAATTGGAGTAAAATCACAGGCTTCCATTATCCCGTGCGAATGCACCACACGAAATTCAGATATGGGGGGGGATAATTTCAAAATCACACAAAGCCCCCAGATAATACTATTCCTGTGCGAATAGGGCTCAAGATGCATTTGAGTGTCGAAAAATGCATCTTGACTCAGCCAAGTGTAAGTGCATCTGGCTGTTTACGTTAGATAAACTTTAGTTCTCTCAAACACAATTATGTCAGCATATGGACATTTAAGAAAACTGCAATCCACATGCAAGCAGAAGAGAGCATTCAACAGAAAATGTTGCTGCCTTGCACTGGCTTGATGATAGACTTGAACTCCAATATAGTTGCATGTAACATGGGAATAGTAGATTAAATTTGTATTCTTTTTTCAGGGATGTACTTTAGTGGTCAATTTATAAATGCAACGTACATAACCAATCAAATAGGAATCCGATTGTTCAAGATGCACAAATACTGATTTAGATGTTTTGCTATCAGTAACATACTGTGTATTTGCCAAAGAGCTGTTCTGATGTTTACCTACACTGGAAAATTTTTAGTGTAGAAACGGTTTTAACTCAGAAATTCCTAGTAAATTTTACAACTACAAAGAAGTGACAAGAAGCATTGAGGGAATGAAGAAGACATAAAAAAATATATATATCAAAATAAGGCTTGAACTGTTCTTGAGAAAGTTGAACATGCAGTTTGGTTTAACCATGTGCTTCTCAACTTTTAGAGGCAGAGCATGAACAACAGGACTAGCTAATTCAGTGAGGTTGTCAGACAACCTGCTCTGTGCAAATAAAAGATGAAGCAGAGGAAGGGTTGTATATTGATGCAGTAAATGTTGCTGGCAGAAGTCTTGGTAGTAACAAGTTTCATTAGTCTGGTAACCTAACTTCTGTGTGTGTGTGTGTGGAGGGGGTCATCTAAACTGCAGTGGTAGAACAGGTGTCTAATGTCTGGTTGTTAGCTGGCCCAGTGTGTGGCCTGGTGTTACTGGCAGTCCAGTGCTGTTGTTTCTGTAATGGTGAGGTCGAAGCTGAGGGAAGAGAGGTTTGGAATGTGATGTGGGAAGTTTTGAGCTGCAGCAAATACGGTATTTATCATCTACTTTAAATGGCAGTTTATTCTGTTTTTCAAGGATGGATTTACAAAAATCTAAGTAAATGTGGGTTTTAATTTTCTATGGTCCTGGAAACCCTAGAAATATCAAGGAATGTCAAGAGTGTGTCTTTTCTCAGGCCTGTAAAAGTCCTGGAAATAATTCAATACATTTATTTATTTAAAGTGCCCCTATTATGGATTTTTGAAAAAAAAAAAATCACCTTTCATGCAGTGAAACATACTATGAATATTCATAATATATTATGAAACATAATGATACAGCTCTCAATTCAATGATGAACTGTCTTTAACTGAAAAATTAGTGTTTACTATTGTCATTTTGCATTATTGACACCATTTTCCTAATTAATGCTGTTCAGTTGCTTTGACACAATCTGTATTGTTAAAAGCGCTATATAAATAAAGGTGACTTGACTTGACTAAGTGAATGAAAACATCCTGCAAAGTTTTAAATCTGAAAGTGCACCATGTGTATAAAGTTGTCTCTCAAAAGAGTCGACTCTGAATCATTTAAATGAGTCGTTTTTTTAAACAAATCCCAAGCCGTTTCATGTTGACATTAACATGAAACATTAGCATATTGAATATTTTATTAAACTATTTCATTAATCCAAATGTAAAAAAGTAAAGTGCAACATAGTGCAAGAAGCAGGTGTCCATCTCATAGTCCAAATAAATGAAATCAAAGTTCAGTATTAGTGTAAGAATGACAACATCCACATGTTTTAGTCTACTAATAATAAAACATTAAGGCGTATTTACCAGAAATATTATTTAGCAGAATTTATTTAGGAGAAAAATGTAGAGAAATGTGCAGTATTTCTGAAGAAAATTATTATTATTTTTTCAATAAAATCAATTAATTGGAGATGCTTTTGATTTATTAATTTAATTGAACCATTAAAATGGAATCGTCTAATAAACTTTACTCTTTTACATCACCTACACGCACACAAGTCCGGTGAGAGAGAAGTCAATAATTGTGGAACTCCAAGGCTGTCAAGGCTATTTTATTCACTTAAACATCGGCTGAAGTGATTTTCTCTTTAATACAGATGATGCCAATGTATTTTTCGATGAGTCACTATGTTGGCAATAAAAACATTACCTGCTTGATGAAAAGGGTTGCCAGGGTTTTTATAACAAAAGCCTCCCAGTTGCTACCCAAAACTAGCCCAAACTAACTGCGTTTCGAGGGGGTCCCCCGGTAAAAATCGCGTTCCGGGGGCTAAAATACATGTTATTTGGGTCACTTCAATCCGTGGACATGAAAAACAACCCGCGGCAACGGTGATAAAGTAGCCCAATTCCACGGGAAAACCGCGGACTTGGCAACACTGTGACGGATACAACGGACACGAGCACTGTCTCTGCGCAACAACAACAGCTTGATGTTGTCTAATTTGGCACGGTCTCCCTGCTGCACTGGTAGTAGTAAGTAAAGCTGGGCAATATAGCTAAAAAATTTATTAACGATATAATGTTTTTATATCGTTCGGTATCGATAATTATTGACATTATATCCTTTTTTTTAAAACAAAAGGCAATAGAAAAACAATTTAAATTTAACCACTGTATTTATAATTAACACAATTTGAGACCAACAACAAATATTTTTTGTTTTAACAATCAAACACAATAAAAATTAAACGTATCTAATTTCTAATGTTTTATATGCAGATTAAATAGGTCTAATTGTTTCCCGAGGCCACAGGAGGGCGCAATGAGCAAAATAATGCAGCGCATTTAGCAAGTAACTCTATAAAAACGTGTTTCCTCGGTGTATACATATCCTTACAAGTACAATTTTAGCTGTAGTATTTGTGTCCCCTTCAAAAATTGCTCTTGAGAAATTTTATGTTTATTGTCCCCCCCCCTACTGTTAGACGAAATTTACGCCCCTGCTGGTATTGTTCATTTGGGAGTTACACTTGTGTTGTTCGTGGTCAAAAGTGACCGGACACCTGAAAAACTTTTTTTATTTTCAGTTAAATCAATGTGAGATATTTTTGTTCGATAATATTGTATTGGTTTTATTTTTTAAAACATTTTACACTGTTAAACATTTCAAAGGGTTTTTACAGTAACTTACTGGCAACACTGTTCCAACAACCAATTTTCGATGTCATTTTCATTTAATCTAGCCTGTAATGCCTGATAATGCAGCATTTGTGAGCGGAGCACTGCTTTAT